GTTCCACTGGCTCCCGGGTCCCCTGGGTGACTGGTAACTGGCAGAGGTGAGGCGGCCTGTGAGGGCTCCCTTCCTGCACCACTTCTCACTGCACAGATGTTGTGGTCCCCTTGGGGAGGTCAAGGGGCAGTGTTGTAGAGAGGCTTCATCCCTCTGGGCGGCCCGGGACCTTGGTTCCCTCAAGGTTGTGACAGGGCAGGAGAAGAAGGCACTGACTTGTGCTTCAGAGGAGGAGAGGGAGGCAAGGAGGTGCGCTCAGATCAAGGACCGTGCTGCCTAGAGCGAGACCCTACCCTGATGGTGCCTCTTCCCTTCTTAATCCGGCCCAGTGCCTGCAGGTATAGGTCAGAAGCCAGTGGGCGGGGCGGGGCGGGCCAGTAGGATCTGGCAGGGTGATCTGGTGGGCTCCAGCCCTGGCCAGCAGGCCAACTCCTTCCTCCAAGACAGTTGGGTCACCAGGAGCCTCGTCTTTGTGATTGGGGCTGTACTGGGGGCCCAGGAGGTGACTCCCGGGACTAATGCAGCTGTGCCTGGCCGCATGTGCCCCAGGGGGTGACCGTAGAAAAGGCCATTGCCCTCCAAGGCAGGAGGAGGTGGTCTTGGGCCACGCTGTCCACATCAGGGTTTTAGATCTTCCGGTGGCCGCGCTAAAAAAATATAAAAAGAGGGTCAGTGCTCAGTGGTGCAGCACTTGCCTGGCATGTACAAGCCCATGGGTTGGATCCCCAGCACTGTAAAAAAGTACAGGAGGAGGAAACGGTTGCAATCAGTTATGTGTGCAGTCTTAAGTGTATTTCATCTAAGCTGGGTATGGTGGTGTGCGTCTGTAGCTCCAGAATTCTGGGAGGCTGAGGCAGAAGATCACAAGTTTGAGCCCAGCTTAGGCAGCTTAGTGACTTAGAACTTGTCTCAAAAAATTTTTTTAATTGTCTTTTTTAAAGAACTGGAGATAGAGCTCCCAATGAGACCCTGGGTTCAACCCCCCCAGTACCCCCCCAATTTTCTCACCCAGTCCACCCAAAATGCAATTTTACTTCGTCATCGATAGGCAGTTGTGAATGAGACCGGGTGTGCTGAGTCCCTGACCCTCGGCACGCAGTTCCTCCAGGACTGCCGCATTGTGGCCCAGGGTCCTGCGGGGAATGAGGACAGAGTGCCAGCCGGGGTGCGGGGAGCCCCTAGGCTTTGCCCAGCTCCTCTGACCCAGCTGCCTGCTGTGGCTGCTGCTGGGGTCCCTGGGCTGCAGTGGGAAGAAAGGCTTTGAGGTTGGAGCTGCAAGGCCAGGAAGTTGGGGCAGAAAGGAGGAGATAAACCCGTAAGACCCAAGTCTAGATGGAGGAGGAGACCTGGTGGCCCGCCCGCGGCGGGTGTGGGACGAGGTGGCGCGGAGCCGCGGGGCTCAGGAGCCCACAGGTCCGCATTGTGCGCCTGTCACACTTCCTTTGGCTTTATTGCTTTTGTCCAACACCCCATTGTCTGGTTTCCTTTTGTCCCCCTTTCAGCGCTGCTGCCTTTTATTTTCCAGCCAGCCTGGTTGTTTTCATTTCTTTTGTCTGAAGTTCCTGAGAGGAAGGTTTTATTTTCAGCGGTTTGATTAATTCACAGCTTGAGCCCGGGGTTTGTTTGTTATGTAATTGCTGCCCTCGGCTTCAGGATAATACCCCTCCCCCTCCCCCTCCCCACCCCCACCGGGCACCGCCTCCGCCTCCCCGGCCCCTCCCGGAGCCCGGATGGGCTGAGCTGCCTGCTTCCTGGAGGTGCTGCGGTCTCCCTCCTGGGTGGTGGGAAGGGACCCCAGGGCGAGCTGGGCTGGGGGGGTCTCCTCTTCATCTGAGGGAGATGGGCTGACCCTCGTAGGGTCAGGTAGACCCCTCTCTTCCCTCTCGGTCCTGGCTACTCGGGGAACCCCGCAATTTGAAAGTGGGTGGGCAGGAGGGTCTGGTATTGTCTGCCCTGTAGGGTGGAATCCAGTGAAATTCTCATCTGTGTCTTAGTCAATTACAATGCCCTTTTATGCTCTATTGTATTTGGTACTGCCACTGTGCATGATTCTGTTATAGTGTTCCGTTACAAAAACCATTTTACAGAATTGATACAATCTATACGGAACTGATGGCTATACAAATACAGTAGCTCCCCTCCCGCCTTGTCCAAAGTTTCACTTTCCGTGGTTTCATTTACCAGAATAAATAATGCTCATAAGATTTAAATTCCACTGTGCTCCAAAAGCATGATGAAATCTCATTCTTAATGTGAGTAATCCCTTTGACAGTGTATCCACGCTGTATAGACTACCTGCACCTTAGTCGCTTAGGAGACCCGTGCTTCCCAGAGTGGCTGCTTTATCTCTGAGAGTTCAAGTGACCCTTATTTTACTTAATAAATGGGACAGGCCAGAGAGAAGCCATAAAGTGTTTCCATTAGCTGAAAAGCTCACAGCAAAAAAAAAAAAAAAAAAAAAAAAAAAAAAAAAAAAAAAAAAAAAAAAAAATTTATGCTGAAGTTTCTAACAGCTACAATAAGAATTAATCTTTGGGCGGGGGATTTAGCTCAGCGGTTCGGTGGCCTGCCTTGCAAGCACAAGGACCCGAGTTCAATCCCCGGTACCCCTCCCCAAAATCTTTAATCTGTGAAATTGTGGAGAAAGAAAAAGAAGGGTGTGCTGCTTGTGCTCTCGCTACTCAGTGCTTAATTCAGATGGAAAGGGCCTTACATTTGTGTGTATAGAAAACATTAGTTTCTTCAGGGTCTGCTACTGCCCATGGCTCAGCCTCTTACTACTGAATGCATCTCCCCAAGGATATGCGGGTGCCTCTGTGTCATCTGCACCTACAGTTTAAGGGAGATTTTACTGTATCTGATTTTCTTTTCCTACACACCTTCTAAGAATCGAACTCCAACGAGTCTTAGTCTGTGTTTTGCTGCTATAATAGAACAACACAGATAGGTTCGCTTTAAGTGAGCAGTTTTTCCTCACTGTCCAGCAGGCTTGGAAGTCCAAGCGGCTGACATCTGTCCAGGCTTTCTTGCTTGTGTTAGGAAGGGCAGATGGAGAGGAGCCAAATGCACCCTTCTCACAGGAATTGCCTCTAATTAGGCACCCCCTCCCAGTAGGGTTCCACTGGGGTGGCGTGTCCTGGTGTCCTGCAGTCTGGCTGTGGGTTTGGGTTGTGTTCGAAGGTAGTCCTGTGCAAATACATTGTTGAGAGTTGTTTCCTCCTCAAGGATGCTTCTAGCTGGTTGTATCAGATTCATGTGGAGGGTTGTTCAGATCCCTCGGCCCATCCCCAGAGATTGAAGCAAAGTCATCAGTCCTTGTTACAAAACAAACAAGCCCCCTGTACGATCTGGTCCTGTGTGGAACTGGATTCAGCCAAATGGGACAAAAATCTTCCCATTAGGGGCCGGGCTTTAGCTCAGTGGTTCTGCTGCCTGCCTTGCAAGCTCAAGGTCCTGAGTTCGATCCCTGGTACCAAAAAATAAATAAATAAATAAATAAATAAAAATTAAAAAATCCCCCCACTAGAGTCTGTTCCCTAAACGAAACAATAGAGCACAGCTATTTACATAGCATTTATATCATAGTAGTTATGAGTAATCCAGAGATGAGTTAAAGTACATGGAAGATACAGGTAAGAGGCAAATATTCAGTGCCCTGCAGATTCCTAGGGTCGCCTTAACAAAGCCCAACTGCAGTGATTTAGCAAACGCCAAACCTGTGCCTTCTATACCGCCAGCTGCTCTAAGCACCCGTAAATACCAGCACATGACCCTCAGGACTGCTCCACACAGCCGGGCATCTGTACTGATTTCACAAGTGGGCGGACGGAGGTGTAGAGAAGTTTAGCAACTTTTGCCCAGCACCACGCAGCCCATCGACCAAGGTGGGGCCCTTGACAAAGGGAAACTGGAGCTTGGGGTGCATCCTGGGGCAGGGTGGGTGTCTGCTGCTCCAGCCTCAAGCCTGGCACTCTCACATGTCTGAGATCCTGCAATTGCTCAGCCCCTCTCAAGGTGCCAGGCAGTGGAATGGCAGAAGGGAAGGCAGCGTCTCCAGAGACAGGACTGCAAATGGCCAGACTCTGAGCCAGAGATTCCAGTTAAATATCAGAAAATAAGGACCTGTAATTTATTTTCTCTCTGTGTGTAACCCAGCACCTTTGCACTTAGCTATATCCCCAACCCTTTTTATTTTTTGAGACAGGGTCTTACTAAGTTATCCAGGCAGGACTTGAATTTACAATCCTCCTGCCTCAGCCTCCCAGGTGTTGGGATTACCCTGGCTCATTTCTCCCACCTTGAATAAGTACTTGAAAATAAGAACCATTTCACTTTTACCTCATCGCAATTAAAGGGATAATGGGCTTAGGGTGCAGCTCAGAGGTAGAGTGGTTGCCTGGCATGCGTGATGAGGCCTTGGTTTCCTTTGGATGGAGCAGTGGCCACTAAGGCAAACTGGCCTGGGCATAGGAGTGCCAGCCACTCAATTCCGGCTGATTTTCGTCATTGTGCTAGAAGTTCAAATCCAGGTTTTAGTGTGCTGCCTCTGGCTTTTTGCGTTTTGGGTAGCTGGTTCTAGACATTTGAAAACACAGACACACACGTAGTCTTCCCTGCCTCAGACCCCGCTGTCAGCTGCAGTCCTAGTGCTGCTGCAGGCCACAAGTACTGAAGGTCAGGCCCCATGGTCTCTAGATCTTTCTATTTAAAAAATGAACAAACAGCTGGGCGTGGTTGCGCACGCCTGTAATCCCAGCACTCGGGGAGGCTGAGGCAGGAGGATTGCTGTGAGTTCTGGCTACACAGTGAGTTCCAGGTCAGTTTCAACTACATGTGAGACCCTGTCTCAAAAAACAAAACAAAAACGACATCAAGCATGAGAAAGAAGAGGAGTTTTTTCCTGAATTTTCTGTGGGTTCTGAAAGTAGGTGTGCTTGGTGTCCTGTGGCTGCCCTGTGGGGCTCTCGGCCTCACCTGCCCCCTCCTGTCCTCTTCTGCAGGATGTACATGAGGAACCCTGTCTCTGCTCAGCTGGCCCTGGATGGTGCTGGGACCATGGTGAACTGCTCCATCAAGTCCGAGGAGAAGAAGGACCCTTGCCATGGGGACCCCCAGGCTTCGGCAGCTGTGGCCGAGCCCCAGCCTGGAGACCCAGCCCGGGACCCCGCCGATGCTGCTGACCCCCAAGCTCCAGCTCAGGTGCCGAGCGCTTTCCCAGGGGCTCCTGGGTCCACGTCCCCGCCCCGCGTCCCTGTGTAGCCCAAACCCTGCACCCAGCCTCACTGCTGGGCAGCAGTTGGGGCAGAAATGGTTCGGTGAGCAGAGGGCTGCTGGGTCAGTCGCCTGCCTGAGCTGGATGGGGACTCGCAGCCTAGTGGTGACTGCCGGCCAGGGTTGGTTGGGGAACGGGATGGACACAGAGTCTGGCTAAAAGTTAGCTGCCAGCTCCTTCACGAGGTTTGAGAGAATCGGCTTATCCCACGTTTTACATCGCTGTTCAAAGGCTATTAGTTCCTCACCCCTAAAAATGGGGGGAGCTGGGGAGAGCGTGTGTTCAGGGAGGGCTTCCTGGAGGCGCAGGGCTTCGGGGATGGGGCGGCTTCTGGCAGGAAGAGGAGCAGCCTTTCCTAGGGAGGGCAGAGCTGGGGCAGCGGGTGTGTCCTGCGAGTAATAATTCGTAGCTGGCGTGGGGCCCCTGACTGCGGAGGCAAACCCCATTCGCAGGCTTGAACGCCCTTGATCCCGGCGGCATTCCTGTGTTGTGGGAGGGATTAGCGTTCCCATTTTCAGAGGAGGGAAGTGAGGTTCCCAGAGGTCCAGGGACGAAGGTGGGAAGTCGGGCTTGCTTTCCTCTGCTCTCCTGTGCCCTTCACATGGCCTCGGGTTAGGGGCCAGCCTGCTTTGAGGGTGGGGCGGACGGCCCTCCAGGCGAGCAGTAAGGCAGGGGAGAGCCCGGGGTCCCCTTGGGTGGGCATCTCTGGGGCTCTGTGACAGTTCAGTGTGTCGTGCAGGAGTGTAGCTCTCCGGAGAGCAGCGGGTCCCCAGAGCCCAAGAGACCAGGCACCTCTGAGGCAGCTTCTGGAGGCCAGGAGAAGCTGGACTTCAACCGCAACCTCCAGGAGGGTAAGAGGGAGTACCAGGCAGAGGTGGCCCAGGCGGGAGGGACAGGGCAGCGCCCCTCAGTCCACGGTGTCTTCTAGTCGTGCCGGCCATCGAGAAGCTACTGTCCAGCGACTGGAAGGAGCGGTTTCTGGGAAGAAACTCCGTGGAAACCAAAGATGTCAAAGGTGAGGGCCTTTGCGGCTGGCCTGGCTGTGCAGTCTGGGTGTGAAGGGCGGTTCATGGGCCTCGTGCCTGTCCCATGCCACTTGGGTGCTTCCTGGTCCTAGAGGTCATCACGCCCCTCACCTGGGGCCCCAGGCAATAGTTCTGGCCGATCCCCACCTAGGAAAGGCGGGGAGACTCATCCTTCGGGTATAGATTTGGGTCTGGAGTAGGGGGGACCCTTGTGACGTCAGGCTCGGCCTTCCCTTTTCCCGTCTAAAATGGGCAGGAAGTTCGCTTTCGCTTCTGATGATTAATTCTGGCTCCAGGGACCTTGCTGAGAAGAGGTTCTTCTGGTGCAGCTGCTTGGGTTCCTTCAGCGATCGTGTCCCCAGGGTGGTTGATCCCACCCTAGGGGGAGTTTGTTTTTTTGGTACCGGGCATCGAACTCAGGTCCTTGCGCTTGCAAGTCAGGCGGTGGAACCACTGAGCTAAATCCCTGGCCCATTTGTTTGTTTGTTTGTTTGTTACCCTAGAGGGAGTTTAAACCAACACATAAGCCCAGGTTCCAGCCCCAGGGGTGGGGCCGGGGCACCTGTATTTTTCAAAGGCACCTTGAGTGATTCTGATGCAGATGGCCAAGTGGTCACCTATTACTATGCCCATTTATAGATGTTTTCAAACACCCTAGTTGCGGTGGCACTTGCCGGCGTCCAGCTACTCGGGAGGCTGAGGCAGGAGGATATTGCAAGTTCAAAGCCAGCCTGGGCAACTTAGTGAGACCCTGTCTTACAATAAAAAAAGGAAGGCTGGAGGTGCATCTCAGTGCCACAGTGCTTGCCTAGCTAGCTCGCACGAGGCCCTGGGTTCGGACCCCAGTATTGCAGGAAACACCCTACAGTGCAGAGAAACTGGTAATGTGCCTAGTGGGGTCTTGGGGATGAGGTCGCAACCGCCTAATGTACGTCCATCCCATGGGTGGGCGAAGGATGGACGGATGGACTAACTGGACTCTCTGTGGTGGCTGTGCCACCGGGGAGCAGGGACCCAAGAGAGCCTGGTGGAGAAGGAGCTGCAGCTTCTGGTCATGATCCACCAGCTGTCCACCCTGCGGGACCAGCTCCTGACCGCCCATTCGGAGCAGAAGAACATGGCCGCCATGCTGTTCGAGAAGCAGCAGCAGCAGATGGAGCTGGCCCGGCAGCAGCAGGAG